TGACAATCCATAAAACGGAAATTTAAACATAGAATCTCCGGTAACCGCAATAGTCATCAAAAATAGACGGAAAGTACGGTCCTCCAAAACTTTCCGTCTATTTATGATGACTATCTATTGCAATTACTGGAGATTCTATTTTTAAATTTCCGTTTTATCGATTATTAAAAACGTTTAATAAAGTACAGATCCTTCATATGAATTATTGTTTCCGTTAAATTTTTAAGTATTGTAATATTGAAAATGACCTGATGTAGGTCGAAACGTCTATATTTGTAATTTTGTATTTTTAATTAATCTTGAGGCATTAAATCCAGCTCTGGCTTTTAGCCCTCATTTTATTCTTATTTTGTTATTTTATTGAGCCTATAATTATTAGCTTTTCTAAAAAATACTTAACATAATTATTAATCGAGTCGCGCGGCAATCACATCGCGGCGCGGTGACTTGAAATTGCTGAAAGCCTGAAAAGCATACATGTAGCGCTATAGCGTGCAATAGAAGAGGACAACAGATCTGTCCTTTTCTACCGCTCGAGGCTGGCCGAGCGACGCGTCGTTCGTGACGTGGTGTCACGTGACGGCTCACGGCAGTGGCGTAGCCGCCGCCGCGCGTTACCAGCCTATCGTCAGAGCAGGTCCGCGACTATCGCCTCACAACCGTGACATACGGGACATCCCCAGCGTCTTTCTTGGCGCTAAGAACGCTTCAGCAGCTGGCTCACGATGAAGCGGCCCGCTTTCCGCTGGGAGCCACGACCATCAGACAGCATTTGTACGTAGACGACATCCTGGCCGGCGAGGACTCTCCGGACCGGGCCCGTGAGGTGCAGACCCAGCTCGTGGAGCTCTTGCGCGCGGGTGGCTTTGCGCTAAGCAAATGGGCTTCTAGCTGGCCGGACCTGTGTCCGCGGATGGAGCAGGAGAAGAGACTCTTGCCCCCGAGCGAGGTGGTCGGGGCATTGGGAGTCAGTTGGGACCTCCAGACGGATGCCTTGGTGCTGAAGGTGACTCCATTGGGAGGACACGCTGACACACGCACTTGGACCAAGCGAATGGCGCTATCCAATGTGGCCCGACTGTTCAACCCGTTGGGATGGGCTGCGCCGGTGCTCGTGTACGCGAAGGTATTCATCCAGGACTTGTGGCTGACCGGATGTCAATAAGATGACCCTCTGCCGCCGGAACTGTCACACTCGTGGCAGAGCTTCCGGGCCTCGCTGGGGCAGCTGAACGAGGTGCGCCTTCCTAGGTGGGTCCACTTTGGAGCAGAAAATGCGAGAGTTGAGCTGCACGGCTTCTCGGACGCCTCCGAGAGGGCGTATGCGGCAGTCGTTTACCTGCGGACCGTCGACAACCAAGAGCGGGTAGCGACGCACTTACTGGCTCGTACCAAGGTGGCCCCCGTAAAGACGCAGAGCGTACCAAGGCTGGAGTTGTGTGGAGCGGTGCTCCTGGCCAAACTCTTAGATCGTATCGTGAAGGGCCTTAACATGGAGAGCTGTCCAGTTTACGTGTGGACGGACGCGCAGGTGGTGCTTGCATGGCTCCGATCTCACGCCTCCCGGTGGAAGCCATTCGTGGCCCACCGGGTGGCGGAGATTCAAGGGCTCTTACCCGGCGACCACTGGAACTACGTCCAGACTTCCTCCAACCCTGCGGACCTTGCTACTCGTGGCATCGACTCGTCTGAACTCCTTGGCCGGACCCTCTGGTGGCATGGACCGGCCTGGCTTGGCCAAGCGGAGACTAGTTGGTCCATGAGGGAGATCTCCCCCTCTGCATCCATACCTGAGGAGGAGCGGAGGGCTGTTGCTCACACGAATCAAGTGCGAGGACGATCTGCTGACAAGGTTCTCTTTGCTCTCCCGGCTTGTGAGAGTGACAGCTTATTGTTTTAGGTTCCTGCACAACGCTCGGAAGCTGGAGCCCGCTCAGAGTGGCTTCTTGACTTCCTCCGAACAACACCGGAACCGACTGACTTGGATAAAGCAGGCTCAACAAAAGGTGTTCCCGGACGAGCTGATGGCGCTGAGGACTGGACGCTCGATCTCCGTCCGGTCACCGTTGCGCGGACTTTACCCGATGCTGGACGAGGAGGACCTTCTTCGAGTGGGAGGCAGACTCCAGGCCGCCCTACTTCCGTTCGGTGAGCGGCATCCACTGCTGCTGCCAAAGGATGGGCACCTCACCTTGTTGGTGATCCGCCAGGCTCACCACGCCACTCTCCATGGGGGACCGCAGCTTATGCGGGGCTATCTGCTGCGCCATTTCTGGATTCCAGGGGGTGCCTCTCGGATTCGCCAAGTGGCGCATCAATGCGTGCGCTGCGCCCGCTTTAAGGCGGATCTTGGCCAGCAACGCATAGGTCGACTGCTGGCGGAGAGAGTGCAGCCGGCGCGACCATTTCTTTTCTCTGGTGTGGACTACGCCGGTCCGTTGCGCATCCGGGCCTCCAAGGGGCGCGGTCACGCGACCTTTAAGGGCTATATTTGCCTTTTTGTCTGCCTTGTAACGAAGGCCGTCCACCTGAAGGCAGTCTCGGATTTATCTACTGCCGCTTTGCATTGCAGCTTTTAAGCGATTTACCAACAGGCGAGGTCGCTGCACGCTGTTGCTAAGCGACAACGGCACAAACTTCCGCGGAGCAGATGCGGAGCTGAGAGGGATGTTCCGAGCGGCCTCATCGTTCTCCAACGAGGTGGGCGCTCTTCTGGCCAATGACGGGACCACCTGGCGTTTTATCCCGCCACACGCGCCGCACTTCGGCGGCCTCTAGGAGGCGGATGTCCGCTCCGTCAAGCACCACCTACGCCGCCTCTTGGGCGACCAGGTCTTGACGTACGAGGAGCTCGCAACTCTGTTGTGCCAGATCGAGGGTTGCCTCAACTCAAGGCCCCTGGGTCCACTGAGCCAGGACTCATCCGACCTGGTAGCGCTAACTCCGGGCCACTTCTTGGTGGGGGAACCGCTGACGAACTTGCTTGAGCCGGTGACTACGGATCCACCGGCAACGCTAACCAATCGCTGGCGACTGGTCTCCAGCTTGAGGAGCCACTTTAGGCAGAGATGGGCGAAGGAATACCTTTACACGCTCCAGCAGTCGTCAAAATGGCATCGCCAACGAGCTAACCTCAAGGAGGGAGACCTTGTGCTGGTCAAAGATGAGATCTTGCCACTAGCCAAATGGGCGCTGGGGCGTATAGTCGAGGTCAATACGAGTGCAGTGCTTACCGAGTTGAGCACGGCGGGCGATCGGCCCTGATTTCATGAGACGCCGGTCCACGCGCTAACCTTAAAGAAAACGTGCGTTTTTCGTCAACCTGACGAGGTGGGCGGTATGTTCGCAACTGCGCTTACGGCCCTGGCGCAAGCGCTCGACGGGCGACATCTCTCCCGGGCCCGACACCACGCTAGGCGGATTGAGTAGCTGAGCGGGGTGCCGAGGGCGGAGGAGAGGGATGGGGGAGAAAAACCCCTCAAAAATCGCGACGTAATGATGAGGTGTCTGTCTTGCAAGAACCGTGGATCTGTGCGCTTAAACAGGTCTCACGCCTTCGCACGCGATTCCTGTTCGCGGCCTTTTCTTTTGCGAGTACGCGTAGTTATCTAGTTGTACGGCGTATGCAGCTTTACATACGCCACGCTAATATTATGTTAGTGACATTGTGATATTAAAATATACGTTAAAAATTGAGCACTTTTTGAGTTGTTTCGCGCCTGTGACCGCTATTCCGATCCTCTATTCCCGGCCATTCTGCTTACGCTGAGAGACTCCAACTCGCATTTTTGGTGCGGGCGAGCCGATAAGCGAACAGTTGTCAATTCAAATAAATCCAAATAACCGTATGGATATATAATATCCAAAATAATCCGCCTAAACCGTATATATATTTTTTAACATCTAAGTTTGTTTCAGTTACAAACACTGATTCAATAAAATCGATGTATTCCGACTAAATTCGATTCCGCTAGGAAAGACAACATTAATCTGAATTTTTAATTTAAATTTTTAATTCGAAATTTAGCGATGGCGCGTATGTAATTTTAATCTACTTTAATAATATCTAATTTTTAGTAATTGAGTTGATTATAATCCGGTGTAATTCGAAATTCATCGATTTTGAGGATATAAAATAATTTGGTTTGAATGCAATAAAAATCCAATTTTGTCTGTGATCAGTATAATAGTAATTTGTTTTAATTTTTGCAAACATTTGTATGAAACGCTATCGCTTCTCCTGATCCAGTATTTTACATTGTGTTGTACTCATTTGTATTTTACTGTCGTTATTTCGACTATCTATCATGTTATCGTATGTTAACATTTATAAAAAAAATATTTTCATCTTTTTGATAACTTTATTGATCCGATCTATCACGGATATGTATTTATTAATATCGAGTAGTCATAGACCATCACGAAGTGTCTGCAGTTTTCAATCACAGATGTCAAGCAGCGTTGACGGCAGTCGTGACTTGGATGGGTGACCGTTAGTTGAAAAAATGCGATTAAAACCGATTTAAAAAAAGTAATCCATTTTGATTAAGATTTGTGTCTTGAAATAATATGCGTGCATTGAAATGTTGTATTAATCTTTACATTTGTCATAAATTCGAGTTTGGTTTCGAAAATTTTTTCTTGTTATTGATTCGATTAATTCTATATTACATTTAGAATAATAAACTATATATGAAATTTTATTATTAGTTGAACTATATAATTAATTTTGACATTGTACGAACGCGGAGTAAGCGTGAGGTCGCGCGGAGGCAAACGCTGGCGAGATAGAGTAAGGAGAGGAAACTCGAAGAGGATCTAAAGAGACTAGAAAGCGATTTTACACGACACAGTTTAATAAAGGCACTTTTACACTATTTACAATTTCTTTGGTATATTCGCGACGGAATAAAACGGCTGAGCTAGCGGGGTAGCACGAGGTACAGCGCGGACACGTCTCTCTGAGATGAACTGCGGAAGAGTCCTGGCGCTCCCTTGCTCCTGCCATTTATTAACGCATGCCCCTCTAGAAGGCTTTCCCTTATTCCTTGGCAAACAATGAGCAATAGCACCTTATAAGGTAATAATTGTCGGAGCCTTGTAGCAGGGCATGGGTTGTCATCTCTTGCTTTTTGCAAAACATGTTTGCTCGAGCGCGCCGTTTCGCGCGGCTCGAGAGTAGGCAGCCCGCGATTGGGCGCTGGTGACGGCGGCGGACGCTGAGCGCGACCGTTGCCGCCGCGCTCGGGTTTGGCATCACGCGCGTATGCCGTGATTATGACTCATCTCGAACAGACATAATATATTCATATATCAATCAGTAAATTTTGGATCGACCAATTGCTTTTTTTGTACGAGCAATTGTCGAAGTTTGGATTGACATAGATTGCTATCACCTGATACTAATCCGTCTAAATTGAATTATATCCGATTTGAATGATTTTAATCCTTTTTGATACCGTATTTTCGGTGCAGTAATCCCGATCGATTCGGATAACTTTTTTAATAATCGGTTTTAATCGAACATTTTCGGCAGGGCTTGTTCGATTGTCAATCTCTTGCCAAGGAGAATCACGCAGGTCTTCGCCATTTAGTCGATGGAGTTCTGAAACATATGAGGGCGCTGAAAGCTATTGGTCGTCCGACTGATTGTGAGTCATGGGATGATCTCATCATACATCTGATAACCGGCAAATTAGATCATAGCACAAACAAGGAATGGAAAAACGGCATCAAAGAGGCCGACATTCCCACTTTGCAACGCTTAACGGATTTTATAGAGCACAGGTGTTATATGTTTGAGGCAGTTAACAGGAAAATCTAATCTTCATCACAATCACAAGTTAAGGTCAGTTCAGTAAAGGTCTCATCATACGTCAGCTCCAAGACATCGTGTCAAAAATGCAAAAGAGATCATCAAATCTTTGCATGCCATCAATTCTTGAAAGTGTCCCCAGAGAAGCGTCTGAAGATTATCAGGGAACATAAGTTATGTTGTAACTGCTTAAAGTTTTCATCGCACAGCGCAGGTCAGGTAATTGCAAAACATGCGGCAAACAACACAATACATTGCTGCACATTTCTAGGGACAAGCCGCAAGCCAAGGTCGCGGCTCTGTCATCTTAATCCATGAGCCAGCAGCCAAATCCACCTACAGCAAATGTTGCACGTACGACGATGTCAAATTCATCGTCACAAGTTTTTCTATCCACGGCCTTGGTAAACGCACAGGATTGCCAGGGAAATAAACAAACATGCCGTATGTTCTTAGACTCAGGATCACAATCCAACTTTGTAACGGAAGATTTAGTACGACTGGGCCTTACGGTAAAGTCAATTGACATGTCAATCGTCGGAGTCAATCATGCTTGCAGCAAGATTCAAAAAATGGTGCAGGTGCAAATGTACTTTGCATACAAAATCATTATTAATTGTTTAGTGTTAAACCAAATTACCCGCTGTACAAAAAAACATATTAGAAACTTTTCATAAACGTTATTCTGAAATATGAAATGTTTCGGAGATATGCGCAGAAACATTTTTGAAACATTGCATAAACCGTTAATGTCCGCATTCAGATACCTAGATGTGAAACATTACAGAAACATTTCTTAGGATAGTGTCCTAAATGTTTTTTTTAAATAATTCTTAAACGTTACTATGCTATGTTTTTGCAGTTTGTACAGCGCGTGGTACCGTATATAATTAAGACATTTTATCTATTTAATTTTAATCTGTTTATTGTTTCTCAATACAATATATTATATATATTATATAATATCACATTTTTATCGTAATATATAAACTTTTTAAACATGTTCGACAACAATAAAAAAAATGTCACATTTTTATCATATTTTTATCGTAATATGTAAACTTTTAAACATGTTCGACAACAATAAAAAAAAATAATTACCTTTTAAAAAAACTTAATTTTAATTGCATTTGTAAAAAAACTTAATATCTTTGGCCTTAATATTAGCTGCTTTTCATTATCACGCAAGTGAAACTGAGTCTGAAGTGATCTGAGTATTTCATGCTCAGATAATGACGTCATTGTTCAGTGAAATTAACGACAAATTACGACTTATTTTTCCTTAACCTCACTTTTAAAGTGAGTCTATTGGACTCAGTAAACCACACGATCTCGAGCTTGTGCAGATTGAAAGTAAAAACTCAGTTAAATCTCACTTGTGAGAAACTAAAAGAACGTGCATGCAACTGAGTCATGACGTCACAAGTGAGAATTATCTGAGTTTTAGTATAAATGGAAAGCACCTATAATTTTACTGTGTGGTATATTTATGCGTCATTATTCGCTGCATTAGCTCTCGCATTTTCGCGAGTTAATCGGAGATTTGTCTGAACCAAGTTTTTAAATTTTCTTCAAACTCCGCTTCTGTAACGGCAGGACAACTTTTTTTTATAGCAGCTGAAATATATAAAATATATAAAAATGTATATACTTTAGAAATGCTTTTAAATTATTTATTCAAAGAAAGTTAAATAATAATTAAGCAAATAAATATAACAATATACTTACATTTTATGCAAGTAATAATTTTTAAATCCTTTAATTTAAAATTGTTCTTTGCTCCAGTCCAAGAACATTTTGAAACAAGATTGTTAGAAAACAACTTTTGCAAAGCTCTTTTTAATGCGTCTTTTGATGTAACACCACCAATCAAAACCAACATGTTAACCTACAAAATTTTTAATAAATTATATGTTTACTCACACAAAAAAAAATACGGAAATGTCAATCAAATATCACTTTATATGTAAATAAATTAATATAAATTTGATATACGTGACAAACATATAAAATAATGTCTCAAATATTTTCTGCTGTACATAAATAATGTCAAAATTATTGAATAGTAATGAAAGGCATATTCCACCAATCACCAATTGTGATTGCGCTTCTTCTGCCACTAATATAGCTTCAAAATTATCAATGTCTTCAATTTGATTCATTGGTAATTGTGGAATCATATCAGTATTATGATTATTTATTACATGATTGCCATTTTCTACATTATGTAAGCGATTATCTAATCGTGTACATAAAATTTTTATTTCAATAACGTAACGTAGAATAGAATCAAGAGTTTGATTAGCTGTAATATAAAAATATATTATATATTAATATTTAGTATATGATCGTTTATAACTTTTTTATAAATTAATTTTGAAATTAATAAAATAATTAAAGTAGACTGTTTAATTATTCTGTATCAATATGGTAATCTTATAATGAAAATTACATACATTATAATATTTTTACATTTATGATGTATAATTTACGTAAAATGTTTCTTGTTTTTCTTAGTCATAAAAGTGTTTTCTTTCGTGCAAAAATAAAATATAAACATATAAGAATAAAACTTACTATTATTCACAGGAATAGTATTGTTCTCTGTTTCTATAACAACAGGAAGGTCATAAATATTCATGATTTGTGTATCCCCATCAACATTTTGGTCATCATTATCTGGAAAATATTTTGTCTTAAAAAATATAATTTAATAAAATAAATAAATAAATATATATATATATATATATATATGTACATACATATAACAAATTGTCTCTCTTTTACACACATGTATGTGTGTGTATGATAATTCAGTAAATGTGTGATATTTAGTAAAACATGTGGCAATACTAAATATGTGTGTGTGTGTGTGTGTGTGTGTGTGCGTGTGCGTGTGCGTGTGCGTGTGCGTGTGCGTGTGCGTGTGTGTGTGTGTAATAGTAAATACATATGTAGTAAGAAATTTTTTTCATAGAATATTTCTCACATTGAAAAACGTTTATATAATGGTAAATTGCATTAGTGTGATTATACTACCTTGTTCATCTAAAGTCTTATCAGGAATCGAATCGTTATCACTGATGCTGTTTTCTTCTTTATCTGTTTTGCTCGAATCACTACTATTATCTGTAAATACATATAATGTATATTTATTTCTATGCAATATCAAAAAAGTAATTAAAGAAACAAATATCTTTCCGAAGTAAAAATTACCATTCTCTTTTTCAAAACGATTTGGAATCATTCTTTTCCTAAGTCCACGGCCTAAATTTTCTGATTCATTATTACTACTTTTGTCTTCCATCAATCTCTTTTCTTTTCTTAGAGCATGTTCATATAAATCTGAAATATTAAGCCAATTTTACTTACTGTTTTTGTTATATTATTTATATATATTTAATATATAAAATATTTTTTTTTTATAAATACTTTTTATAGATGTACATACGTATAAGTTAATATACTATTATCAGTTATAAATACATACCATATTTGGCGAGAACAGTAACTGGATAAAGCATCCAATCATTGCGAGGTTTCTTGCATTTTAAAATAGAATTACGTGTATCTTTTTTTGGCCAATAAGTGTATTTATCATCTTTTAACCAAAAAGTTGGAATCACAGAATATGTTTCGTCTTCTTCACATTCTTCATTAAATTTGACAACGGAATATTTTAGATCTTGCTGTAGAAAATGCATTTTTTTAAATTGTCAAGAACAAACTTGAAACTTAAACTTACGGAATGTATTTTATAATAACATTTTATAATAACTATTTTATAATTACGTACGCTATTTTGAAAGATCAAAAAACTATTATAATATATGTATATATATTTATACATGTTTTACAATACACTAAAATACATATAAAAAGTATCATAAGTTATAAATTATACACAAAGAAAGAATAATACATGCTAATTACATATTACATAAATACATATATACTTTAGTATGCAATATTAATCATTTTTATGCAATATTGGAATTATTGCAAATTTATTATCATTAATTGGTAGAAGTACACACTTTGCTTTAATATCTTTAAAATCAAACGTTGATATTTCTGATGCCTCATGTATGTAAACGATTTTAATGGCTAAACTAAATGAAGGCTTTTTTACAAAATCCGATACATTTTGGAAAATTCTTCCAACTATTTTTATGTCATTATTATTATTTTTATAAATGTCTGAAATTAGCATGTAAGTTAAATTTTTCAAAAGAACACAATTATTCCTTTGACATAATGATATTGTAAGATTTTCATAAGTAAATGTCCTATAATAAGTTTTCTCATGTTCATTGCATACTAAAGTATTATTTTCTTGAAACGATGAAAAATCAGAAGTTTTTTCAATATAAATAAACTTTCTATTTTCAATTATTCTATTGTGTATTTGTTGTAACGGATATCGTGACTTTTTCATATTTCTTTTAATGTTACTCATATAATTTTCGAACTTAAACGCGCTAAAATTATCAAGTGCTCCATACAGTAACACATCATCACAAAGATGCAGGAGATTGTGAACATTAAAGTTAATATATTCTTTACCATATATCTTTTTAAAGTTTTTGACAAAATATCTAAGTAAGGATTTTGCATATCTATTGAGGCTAATACATTTTTCAGAACACAAAATTCTGATTGCAACATGCAAACATAGAAAATGTTTAAACTGTACTTTAGACAATTTCCCTTTGAGTGCTACAGGACCTGTGTACAATAAAAATTGTCTAAATTCTGTCGCTTTCCAATGTTCTATTTCTTCTAAAGATCTCGGTAAACGACAAAATTCTTGAGGAACATATTTTCTAAAAATGCTCATAGTTTTTGATACTGTTTTGATACCGTTATCACTTAATTTACAATTTTTTCCTTTTTTTCCAATGAAAAACATTAAAAGTGTTTTCATAACACCAAGATATACCAAATGCATATAGTCGAGTGGTACATTACTCACTAATCCAATGCCAATTTTTTCTAAAGGAGAATTATCTTTATGATGTTCTTGTTGCACTTGTAATTCAAAGTCTTTATCAGACCGTAAAGTAGCATCAAGTTTTGGAAAAGTCATTCTACCCCTTAAATATTTGCCTTTTTGCATACATTTGTTACAACCAAAATATCCTGTATGAGATTTTATACAAAGAACAAATGCTACAGCTGGTGCATCACAAATAATTTTTTTTAATTCAATTCTTATTAATTTATTATTTATAATAATACCATTTTTCTTTAAACACAAATATTCTTCTACGAAAGCATCCAAAAACTTTGTTACTGAACCTGGTTTTTTCATTCCATGATAAATGCCTACGATAAAAGGTTCTGTAAGTCCTATGATGTCAATTGACATTAATATAGGCCAAAATTGACTATTTGATGATTTACTTAGTGGTAAACCATCTATATTAATTGCTAACGGCAGAATGTCTAATTTCTTTTGTGGTGATACATTTTGTATTTTATGACATATACCTTTTTCAATACCAAAATGTATGTATGCACCAGGTGGCATGTCTATAATATTCTTACTAGCTAAAGGAGTTTTTAGTAATGTTCTACAATCTCCTGGAACGGGAAGATTTTCTGATTTTAATATTGACAATAACTTATTAACAGATCTATGTGATATATTATTAGAAACAACCCAATGTGCAATCTTGTCTGTTAAACTTATTTTACTTTGTGTGTTAAATACATTTTCATCAACATTAATATAGTTAGTTTCTGTTAATTTAGTGGAGTTGTTAACATTATTATAAATATGTTGTACATTAGTATAAACATCAATATAATCATTATTTACGTCATCAGATTTAGTTGAAATATTTTCAGTTATTTGGTAAGAAGTGCATTGCGTTTTATTAACATCATCATGTATATTCGCATGTGTAATATTTTGTTGTTTTTTGGTCTTATAAAATTCATTACGTACTATTCTACGTAAATGTCTCTTTGTTACCTTTGATAACTGTTTCGTTGTTCTATTATGTACCTATAAATAAAAAATACATATTATGTAAATAATATATACATAAAATATATACAATAATATATAACAATAATAGGGTAACTGTCCCTATTAGTGTGCCCTGAACCTATTAGTGTGTTTTTATATTTAAATAAGTCATAAAAATAAACTGGTACAAATAAATAAACAAAGTATTTTTTTTCTATAAAGTTAATACTTTAACTTAATA